CTAAATTAGTTGAAGATCTATTGTTCTTAATTAATGATACATAATGGTAATTGCACCCCAAATCAAATCATTTTAAAACTCTTTTATTTGCTTGTGCCCCTTTTTACCTTTGTATTATATATTCATAATTTTTTCACTTTATCTCCATTAAAAATTATTAAACATCACAACATTACAAGTTTAATGGCCAAAAAGAAATACTCCTATCACTATAAGTTATTTAAATTGCAATATTGTAATATACCTTAAAGCTATAAAACAAGTTGTAAATGCCAAAAAGAAAATGTTAATTAATTTGTACTTTTGGTTCAATGAAAATGCAAATTGGAGTTCGGTCCTTGCTTCCGGGAATGAATTTTTTATTGCAATTTTTTATGATGTCTGACCTTATAGTTGCAGTCAAATTCCGCGACTGCGTAGTTCCAATAGGTCGTGATGCTAAAAGGATTCTTAGTCTCTGAGCCAACGTTCACGCCTCACAGGGGGGAAGAGAAATGAGAAATTACAGACTCGTACACTCTGGAATAATCTTCCTCTACCTTTTTCTACTTATCTATACTTTTTTCTTTAATCTTTTTCGGATCCCGTGGTTTCTCGGCCAACTATATTTTATATCAACGCGCAGAGGCTGTGGTTTGGCAGTCAGAGCCTCCACTTGGAACTCCGTCGTATCTTTTGGACTTATTAAATAAATGAAACCATGCACGTGTCAAAGTTACTGTGGATTCTATTTTACATGTTCCTTGTCTTTTTATTACTGACGGAAAAATCTGTCGAATTTTACAATGGTCCATTATTGTACGTCGGTTCAGACACCGTTGTTTTATCTAACATTTGCATTTCAAGGTCAATTGCCGCAACTACAAGATTAATACGATAGAGTGATGAAGAAAAAATCAAATATGATGGATGGAAAAATCGGAAGTGGAAAGTTTCCTGCAGTTAATTCATTGGACAGTGGATTCGTTTTTCTATAGAAGGAAAATGTTCCTAGTTACAGTTGATTTTGATGGGCCCGTAGTTAGCCACCCACTGGATAAACTTTCTATAAATGACCTGACTCTGCTTTCCTTGCCATCATTCTTCTTCTACTTCTTTTCCCTTCTTTCTTCTGTCATAAGCTAAAACAGCATTAAAAACTTTCATAAGTTTATTGTTTCGAAAGGTGGACATGGAGCTAGCGCAACCCATGTTTAGAGAAACACCTGAAGCCCGGAAATTGAAGACACCAAATAATGGTAAAACTTCAATAATCAGGAACGGGAATTCATCATCATCAGGTTCACGACCAGGCTATTCCCATGTTCCTAGCAAACTTTGTCACGGTTCCGAATCATTCAGGACTCTGGAGATGGGTGTGCCAAAGGTTGACTCAGCTGACAAAAAGCTGTCTTGGCTACGATCTCAAATCATTGGCGGTGATGCAGAGTTTGACTCTCCTTTTGGAACCAGAAAACTTACTTATGCTGATCATACAGCATCAGGCCGCTGTCTTCACTACATCGAAAACTTTATTGTCACCAATGTTCTGCCTTCTTATGGTAATAAATTTTTCCATGATCTTCGATTGTGATACTATTGTATACCTGTAAAACATATATATATGACTATGCTATTTCAGACAAAAACTGATCGTTATCATTGACCTCTCATTTAAAATGATGGTGTCATTAGGGTAAGATTTTTCTCTTCGTTTGACGTCGTATTTGTCAGCTGATCTTGCTTGGTTCGTGCGTAGGGAACACCCACACGTGTGACAGTTATGTGGGCCACAGGACAACAAAAATGGTGCATGAAGCATCTAATTACATTAAAAGATGCCTTGGTGGTGGCCAAGATGATGCAATTCTGTTTTGTGGCTCCGGCTCAACGGCAGCAATTAAAAGGTTACAAGAAGTTATGGGGATTACGGTCCCATCAATTCTGAGAGACAGGTTATTAAATTGCTTAGTCAATGAGAAGAGATGGGTGGTTTTCGTTGGCCCTTACGAGCACCACTCCAACCTGCTTTCATGGCGTCAAAGCCTGGCTGAAGTGGTGGAGATTGGTTTAGATGAGAATGGTTTGATCAACATCGAAGCTCTAAGACGACAGCTTGAGTTTTATAAACACGCCAATAGACCTTTGCTTGGTTCATTTTCTGCTTGTAGTAATGTGACTGGGATTCAATCAGATACTCGAGAGATTGCTGAACTTCTTCATGAGTACGGAGGTTTTGTTTGCTTTGACTTCGCAGCAAGGTACATTTCTAAGAACGTTTTGTTCTTGTCTGCCAAGTTTTTCTCTTTGTGTTAATATTTAGCCATGGGAAGTTGACTTGGATATATTGTCTTTGTGGATAGCGGTCCTTATGTGGAGATTGACATGAGATCAGGGGAGATTGATGGATATGACGCTGTTTTCCTTAGCCCACATAAGTTTCTTGGTGGTCCTGGATCGCCCGGTATCCTTCTAATGAGCAAGGCTCTGTATCAGCTGGGAGCTTCTCCTCCATCAACTTGTGGAGGTGGCACTGTTAATTATGTCAATGGTTTCAACGAAAAGGTAATTAAGTTGTATTTTGTTTTCTTTTTTGGTTCTTGTTGATCCCAATCTTGAAGGGAATTTTGGATCCCTTCGTCCGTTGGACGAGATAAAAGTATGATTTGGTACGTAGCGGTTGGGCTAGTTAGGATACGAGAAATAAATTCCTGGTTTAGAAGGACCCTAGGTGGTTTAGATCTATTGAATGCTAAGTTTCTTTCTTTATGATTGAAGTATAATTTTATATGAGCCAACCATACAAACTAAACTTTCTGAATAGGGAACATATGCGTTAATTATAAAGTGTTTGACGAATTCAGTGTGTGCTAAAATGGGTGAATTTGCAGGACACACTATATGTAGGTGACGTAGAAGAAAGAGAAAATGCAGGGACCCCTCAAATAATTCAGATGATTAGGGCAGCGTTGGCTTTCTGGGTGAAGGAATACATTGGTTATGAAGTGATTGAAAAGCAGGAGAAGTCATACATACAGCAAGCATTAGAGAGGCTTCTCCCAAATCAAAACATTGGGATTTTAGGAAATACAAGCACCGAGACAGAGAGACAAGCCATTCTGTCTTTCCTCGTCTACTCCACCACCAACTCATGCCCTGGCCCCATCAACAAGGAAGGTAACCACGTTGATGAGCTAGATGGACGGATGAAAAGGGGACTTTTCATGTGGGGGGAGACCGGGAGCAGGAGGGATAAGCCTCTCCATGGCCCTTTTGTTGCAACTCTCCTAAATGACCTGTTTGGAATCCAAGCTCGAGGAGGCTGTGCTTGTGCTGGACCTTATGGCCACAGTTTGCTTCATATTGATGAGTCTCGCTCCCTTGCCTTTAGAGAAGCTATTGAAAAGGTTTACATCTTAAAATTTTTTATATCAATCGAAATGATGAATATGCATAAGTAGTCCGATTGAATGAAATTAACAAATTTACGAAGAAAAATAATAAAATAAAAAATCTTGTTTATGAAGAATTAAAGGTAATAGTTGACAGTTAAATATGATTATACTATTTAATATGATGACTTCTAAAATAAAATCATAACACTCTCTTTAATAAAACTTCAAAATAAAATAGCAATTACATATAATTCACTAGCTTAGTTTTTATCTAATGTGAATGGGTTTAACGGATCACTGCAGGGCTATTTCGGAGCAAAACCTGGATGGGCAAGAGTTAGCTTTCCTTACTACATGTCTAATGAGGAGTTTGAATTCATCCTTGCTGCGATGGAGTTTATAGCCATATATGGCCAACGGTTTCTTCCCCTATACCATTTCAACTTGAGAACTGGCAGCTGGACTTTCAAGAAGAAGGCACTTAAAGGCTTGTTAGGAAAGGAGATGGGTCAGGGAAGTCACGTGTTGCCTTTGGCTAGTGCTTTCCAGGCAATAAGCATGGACCGTGACCAATCCTCTCAATACGATGATGCAGATGTTTCTGTCATCCCTAAGTATGCATCGTACTTGAAAGGTGCCAGACGAATCGCTGCTCTCCTCCCCAAGTTTCCATCTCAACGTAGGGTTCACGAGGATTTAGACCTTGACCTCCTCCCTTTCAGGGTTTAACCATAGCATACTATCAAGATGTCCAGTCGAGTTCATACCAAATTTGTGTGTGTCCTCGCCGCCTTTGTTGAATCGAATAATTTTGTCCCTACCTGACGGAATTAGTAGAGTTCTAATAAATTAAATTCACTCAAACTTGTTACCCTGAAATTTCTTGCTGTTCCTGACAAATTCCGTGATGGGTAACCCAACGTGATCAGACTTTCTGGCAACAGCCTTTTTTGACCAAAGCAAATACATACAAACAAATCAAAACGATTATTAATGGACAGGATTAAAATGGCAATACCAGTTCATTTCTAACCTGATTATTACTTATTTTTGGAACAAAGGCAATGCCATATACCAACAATTCATGATTAATTTACAAATGAAAATAGCCGTCGGAAATTTTCCCTCCGCCTCGCTCACAAAATTCATTTAAATTCTACAGCTAGCAACATAACTCTATTTTGAATGGCCTTGGAAGGTGTGCCTGCCATTGCAATGGCAGATATCTCTCTCCTAATGATAGAATACAACAGAACTCCGTAAAATCCGCACAATTGGCGTCTTGTACTTACAAAATTGAGGATGGCTCAACTCACAAGGCCTCTGAATCTGAAAGTCTTCAGTTAACAGTATGTAATCAAGGAGTAGGCAGTGAAGCAAAAGTTGCCATCAAATATCCATCATCCCAACTCTAGCAGATTACATACGCCCAGATATAAAGGGAAAAAGCCGCAAGTGATTGTATGCAAAACTG